ATTTGCTTTTATGCATCAATAATTTCAATACTTGTACAAAATTCAGCATGTACATTCAGAAGAGTATTACCCCAACAGAATCCACATTACATAAAGATGCTGAATTCTTTCATGTCATGCATCAAAAATGCCTTTTCTCAAACCCCATCTACAAAAACAGGCTGATTATTGCTACAGCAATGATACAAGTTTTATATTGCAATCTTTCAGTTACAGATAGTAGTACTAAACACGTTACAGAAATTTCCAATTTATATCCCCATATATTCTTGACAAGAAGTATTCAAACACTGAGCTAAAATGTAAAACAGCTTTCCTTATCTAAAAGGTGGTGATGTGTGTAATTCATGGGAAAAACCAGGGTTGATTGAGTTCAACAAGAGTCAAATGAAAAAAGCTATTTCATTAAAACTGAAACACACAAGTATCTGAAAACAGAATATTTACTCTACATCATGAAAAAGTTGTTTTAATAGAACAATCCTAGTTAGTTTAACATACAATAAACAACATATTTATAAAATTCTTAATGCCAAAACACAGCTACTGTACTTGTTGGCAGTAACAGTGCAGCCATAACAAAATTCAGTGCTGGAGATTCAGCTTTCCAGATACAGCTAAGGGCAAGTACGAATTAAATACCTTGTTCCAGTGCAGATGTGAAAGGAATATGTGGCAGGAAACTGCTGGGTTATCTCAATGTGTTTATCTTGGTCTATTTGTATAAAACAGTATTTTCCACAGCTGTGGCACAAAAACAGTACCTACAGTATAAGAAGCACTAAGTACTCTGGATGCGCAGCACTACAAAAACTTTCCTTTAAAATGAAATGATACTCTGAAATAGTTTGTTAGGATTTGGAGGTTATTAACCTATGTACTAGAAAGCAAACAAACAAACTGGACCAAACTACCTTTTCTCATTTGTAACTTTTCTTGTATTCTTCTACACACAGTAAGCTTTTCTCACCTTCTTCATAAGACAATCAGGCTGTGGATCTAAACAGCAGTTTGAGAGTCCTTCTTGAAGATAGCTGGCTATTGGTGAGACCTCTTCAAATGAGCCATTCATGATTTGTCCATAATATGTGGTCAATCTAAAAAGAAATTACAAATGAAAAAAGAAATGCTTCTTAAGCATAATTTGTACATTACAAAGGAAACCTCATAGTATTCCACTGACTTATGAATGATATGCTGTAA